ATGTTACGTATTCAACATCCGTAAAGGGCTACTGTCAGAAAAGGTGTGGAAAGAGTAGTTTCAAACCATCAGACAGACTGTAAACCCAGATTTTTACCTCCGCAGGTGTCGTTCGAAGACGTGGAGAGGCTGCGACATCTGGCGGTGCTGCCCAGGACCAGAATCCCTCACTTCATGCGCGACCAGGAGCGCTACCTGCAACATCTGGACCACATCGTCACCGTCAACGAGGTGGACGACTCGACGCTGCAGCACCTGCTGCCCTGAACCGTCCCGGCCCTGAACCCCTGCGCCACCTGAAGCCAAGACGAAGAACTGGAGGATGCCGGACTGTATCATGTGGTGCCCCTGATTATCACTTAAAATATCAGTATTGTTAGTATTACTGCTTTATTCGAGCGATTTTTTTGTAAAACTTGAATGATCCGAACAAAAAGGGACGTACACACTAACACCTCTATCCACATTTTCACTTTCGTCCGATGCATGTTTATGTGGCTTTTCCACAGAGCCAAGTACAGTTCATGTGCGCCCCCCTCCCGCCCCCTCGCCTTTAATCCCACTATGAAGTTACCTCAATACTGCAACTCTATGATGTAACCAACATTATATATGTAGACTCATACATAATCACAGATTCATAATCACGTGCTTAATTTATGCAATTATTTAAGTTTTTTTTTTTTTACTTTGACAGAACAGACTGAATGTCTCTGGTTTTAGCTTTATACCCTGTTTTTGTTTTTTTGTTTTTTTTAGATGACGTTGATTTATGCCTTAGATTGTTTGCATTTTAAAAAGGACACCAAGGACACAACATTTCCAAACCCTTGGGGAAGCGGCAACTGAGGCCATGAATCTTTAAAAAAATCAAGTGCCAGCGGACTCAGCCGAGTGTTTGAAATTTTTCCCCGGGGCAGGATTTATAATATCAGTGTTATTAGGAAGATAATCAGCTGCGTTGTCTTAACAGTGTCCTTGGTGGTCTTTGAATATCGATACGCTACTGTGATGTGACCCGTCGCCCAGCTCCCCCCGCTGCGCTACAACCAAACTTTCCTTTAAAGGAGCAGTGCAACATTTTGGGAAGAAAGCGTTTGTTTATCAGCCTCCTTGCAGAGTTGGATTCGTATCGACGCTAACGTTCGATTTGATCAATATGTAGCTGAGAAAAGACGACAAAAAGGGGGAAACGGCAAACTGGACTGTGCCTGAAATGTAAAGAGAAGTTTGGTCGACCCTTCTCCCGAACAGACGGCTATTTTTCTATACGGGTTGAAGCTCCGGTTTATTCAGAAAGTGTTCAGACACCTTTACTCGTTCTGCTTTACGGTGTTGTAGATTAAACGTTAATGTTCAAAAACTCAAAATACAGTTTTAGGTAGTATTAGCTCACTAGCCATGTTTCAAAAATTTGACATCAGAAAAGGTTAAACCTCAATTTCAAGTCCTCAATTTCAGTTTTTATGTTCGCTTAACATGAATTTGAACTTTTTCTAAGAGTTAATTTGCTTAACAGGAAGTAGAAACAACTTAACTCTTACGTTCTAACATGGCGAACATTTAACTCACATGACTGAACGCTTGTTTCCGCTTCCGTTGCCTTTGCCTTGGTATAACGTAAAACATGGCCGATACCAGCTGGCATGAAAAAATAATTACAGTTCCTGAAGACTTCTTTCTGTTTTTGCCTAGATAGCCAAAGATTTGTTGTTGTTGTTGTTTTTCTTCCTGTTTTTTTTAGTGATTGGCAAACAACTGGTTTTGTTTGCAGCTTGCTCTACTTTATTACAGCCATGTAGCCTATACTGCCACCTACCGACGACACTACACAGTCTTATTTAGTCTCTCCAAAGCAGATAGCGGAAACAAGCCCTATTCGCATTTTCTTATTTATTTATTTATATGTCTATATTTTAAAAAAACTTTTTTTTTTTTTTTTGCAACATTATAAAAGTTCACTTCAAATCCGCTCGACCATTACGTGAAAACGAGTCGTTTAATTTACTTCCAAGGTCAAAGAGCAAATCATAAACCAGCAATATAACTTTTAAAAAGAGTAAATAAATCGACCTTTCGTAGTTAACTCAGAATGTACCTAACTCTCTGTTGGATGTTAACAAAGTCTCGGCTAACGTTAGCATCTCTGCCCTGCTCCTTATGTATTGCTGGTATTGTGTGAGCTAGCGTTCTTTATGTAAAAACCTACCGTGAAGGCCTTTTCTCTCGTAGCGCTAGAAGCTAAAACATGCTTTTGTGAAAGTCTAAACACCCAAACAGGGTTTATGTTCAAACAAAATAACAATTTTTCTTATCGTACTTTTCTTGCGCTTCTTTATCTCCCTATCCTTACCATGGATGATCAACTGTTGAGTATGCTAACATGATAGCGTTAGCCTCTTAGCATATATGTAGCCATCAAGTGCATTAACCCTTTTTATATACATTATTTGATTAAAAGGAGTCAGACTGAAACAAAATAAACTGGAGACAGTTTCGAACCAGTTTACCTGCCTTAGCTTCACTAGCTCTCTAGTTAACTACTGCTAGCAACAGCTGTAATTACAGCAAAAATCTCTGTCACCAAACAAAAATGAAAAGCTGCTTTTGTTTACTCGTTTTAAAAATGGGTTGCTTCACCATTTACAAAAACTTTTGTAGTGAATCTGCCATCATTATCACTTTAAGCTAAATTATGTGCTACAAGCATAGAAACAGTAGCCTCCTTCACAAGGAACTTTTACGATTGTGACATGGGAAGTTGTGCACATTAACTGCTTGGCGTTTAAGTCTGAACACCTGCTGTGAGTCACGACAGAACCAATATTAGACAACAAAAGCGTAGAAGTCGGTGTCTAAAAGCCACAGAGGCTAACCAGTTAGCAAGCAGGGAACCAATCGTGAACCCAAAATTGACTGAAACCAATTAAACAATTGGCACACTTAGAGTTTAAATAGGGAAAATTTTGAGTATCAGCACCCTCAATAAGTCTGAAATACTTTCTAATATTGTTCTTATTGGCCAAGGGGTTTCTGAAATATTGTCTATATATGTGATTATGCTAATTATGCAAATCGTCCAACAAATGCAAGTTAGCATCCGGCAGTTTCTGAATGTTTAAACTCGAAACCGTACGCCTGTAACATAAAACATTAAAGTACACAGTATTCATGGGTTCATACTGCTGGAAGTTATTCCAACATATATCTGGTGGATGTAAATTGGCCAATTCTTGTTTTTACAGTTCAGGCTAACCGTTCCCCCCCGTTTACAGTGTTTATGCTAAGCTAAGCCAAGCGGTTGCAGCTTTATATTTATTAAACCACGATGAAGTGATGTCTCATGTAAATCTGTTCAAGACGGCGGACGAGCGCGTTTCCCAAAATGTCGAACTGTTCCCCTGTTTGATAAAATTGCCCAAGTGGCGTCTTTATACTGCTTTTTGCGAAGCCGCCAGACGGCGGCGAGTCGCTGGCTGAGGAGGAGGCGGCGGTGTTGTGGGCGTGCCTTCGATGGGTGTTAGAGCTCATCTGCTATAGCTAGCTGTGTGTTTGTAGGCTGCTTTTTACCGTGTTTGACACTTCAAACTCCAGATGTCATTCAGGGCATTCATTTCGGGCCAAGCTGTCGGCGGCAGACTGAAAGAAGACAACTGTGGGCTAAACAGCATCACAGCAGTAGTCCTAGTTTTTAAACTTCTACAAAACACTTGACCAAAATGTGAACTCTACTCCTGTGATGCATTTTAAATACTCGGATTTGGAGATTGACTTGTAATCGAGATTTACTCTGCTGCGTTTACACTTTTAGCCACTCTGTAAGCAGATAGCGTTTTAAATTTGAGCAGGTCGTTGTCTGCTGAAGCCTGGATTCACCCAAACGAATGCACCTATTTGTAATGCACGAATGTTGCACAAGTGTTTTATGTTCTGGGAAACACCTTGAATTTCCAGTTTATTTATTAAAATGTACACACACACACACTGAATGAGCTCTCTGGTGTGTTTTATGACGCAACAAAACAGCTAGAAAAAGCTAGAAGTTTCATGTTTTTAGGTTTTCTTTAGATGGTGGCAGCAGCTGGGCTTCATGCTTTCAATGTGGCCAGACATTCAGCAAGACCTCAATACCATGACGGCCAACTCCTCAGGTAAATATCTGCTCTTTGGCTGCCCCAGAACCTTTATTATCTGTTCCATTGTGGTCTACAGACCTGCCAGACTAAGCCAATGGCCGATTTATTACGTGAATTTTTTAAGTCGAACTTGATAAAACTTTCAAATTAGACCTTCTAATTGTAATTTGCTGTCTCAGAATTCTGCTGGAAGTCGTTTCCGTTCGTCCATGCCAGATCTCCACTGTTGCTTCAGCAGAAATGCAGGTGAAGGTCCTCAATAGGTAGCTTTCCACAGCAGGAACTTGGCAGGTGTGAGGTGGAAATACGGGACTAGTTCCCTTCCATGTCCTTTGTTTTCTTTAAGGTGTGGAATCAAACTGCTTCAGTCGCAGTATTAGGTCAAAGTGGGCCACAACAACGACAGTTACTGGACTTAACTCAAGTTCTGTGATAGAGCGATGTAGGGTTTGTTACGTTAGCCTTGGTGGAGAATGTTGTGTTTCTGAAGGCAATGTCAGAGAGGAGAATACGACATGAGGACAGAAAAATACGTCGCTTGTTGTCTTCTTTAATCAGTGTTTGAACTTTTTTAGGGCCGCTCTAATAAGTATATTTTTCTTCCCTGAAAATGGCCTAAGAGGGGTTCTACAGGGGCGGCTCCTGCAGTCAGAACATGCAGAAAGGTTCAGGCTGGCCTAAAATGATCAGCGAATTCCGAAATGGAAACCAACGTCCTCTTCACAATCTGTTTCTTTTGGGGAACAAATATTTTAGGTTCTTAACGATCTTGTTTTTGGTCCAAATGCCCAAACCACTTTACCTGTTCGTCACAAAGTCACCTAAGTCTGTAATCTGACACAATTTAAGAACATGGTAAGCCGGAGCAGCCGGAGGTCTAAATATAAGCTAAAACTGTGTGATGCTCTGTAGAGCTCATGGATTGACTGCTGCAATAGTCTCAAACCATTACGTGAACTATCTGGACTGTAGCGATGCCTATTTGAAAACAATGTTCAGCTCACTCCTGAGGCAATAAGAGTCCAACACATGTCTTTAAATAAAAATGGTTTATTCTCTTTCAATATAGCTTTTGTTCTATCCATAGCAGAAAAGAGCCTCCACGCCACTCAGTGCTAAAACCTGGAACTGATCTCAGGTCGCCACAGCGTCAATGACGGACAAACGTCTTTACAGCAACGACACCGGCTGGATGCCGATCCAACAACTGTCACTTTACTGGTTTTGAAAACAGGTGGAGGGTTTTTGGGAGGAAGAGGAAGGGGAGGAGGAAGAGGAAGAGGAAGAGGAGGAGGAGGAGGAGGGGAGGGGCTCGGATCTGGTTTCAGATCGGATTTATTTGTGACTCAGACCAAGCAGCGCAGATTCCTCAGGCTTTGTTGGGAGAAGTTTAATCCGTGCATGTTTGTGTGTGCTGCAAAATTGACATCTTGCTCCAGTATGGCTGTTGATGTGGAGGCAGAGGTTTCTGCCACGAAAAGGTCACAAGTTGAGGTAACAAAGATTCTTCCTGAAGAGACGCAAGAAAGACAACAAAACACACACACACGTCAAATAATGAAAACCTGCAACATTTTTTAAAATCATTTTCAGACATTATTTGGACTGTTGCGTTGTGATTGTGTTCTTTAGCTTCCCCCACGCTGACGTAAATGAGGAGGACAAAACAACTCAAACAATACAACACATCTCCAAAACGGTTTCAGCAACAAACATCATGACTGTCATGGAGGACTGTCGTTACTATTAACCTGCATTAGTTATAGCTGGGGGCAGAGTCCTGCAACAGGTGGAACAAAATGTTGTGTAATGGGTAAAAATATATTTAACTCAAGAGGCGAAAACAAAACAAGTGAAATAAATAAATAAAACCTTGAAAACTTAGAAATGATAATGTCTAACTCAGAGCATGCTCATCATCCTGGCATCGAGTACAACAAGTTAAAAAGACTTTTCCTGGGCTGGATTTGTGATTTAAGAAGAGGAGCGAGTTTCCACCAGAGACTGTGGACGATATTGTATTTCTATATTAAAACAAAAGGTGCATTACCTGCTCTCTGGTTATCATGTTGCATTGGAGCTGCTTATTGCCTTTGTGCCGTCTGTATTGGCGTTTTCCTTCACCACAGGATCTGAGGGACGAACACACACACTGTCGGTTTGTCTGCAGCGACACAACACACTGGTCTAAAATGTACAAACACATGTTTTATTCTGGTGCCTGAAGTGAACAACTAACTTTTAAACAAATGGTTTATTTAGAATTTTAGAGAAGTTTTGATGTGTTAACTTTGGAAACTGACATTTTCAGTTTACAAAATTGTTCTTACATTACAGATATTATAAATGGAGTTAAATTCAATTCTGACAAGTCTAAATTAAATTACTGACATCTGCTTGGAGTTGTAACTAGTAAGAATGGAATTTCTGTTATTTAATTGTAACTATTAGGATCTTTTATCAACATGTATAAACTGAACTGATGTGTAACTAATTTAATAATAGGTAGATATTGGGACATAAGTTTTAATAAGTCAAAATTTAATTTCTATGTGTAAAAATAGTTTCATAATTACTTTAAATATACAAGTCGTCATTTCCACCAGAGAAAAGTAAATACTACTGCTGCTCAGCGCCACTGATTTATATGAGTTTGCCATAATTTACACCAGAACAGCACTGTTCTGTCTGACTGATGCGTTACTGTGAGTGGTTTGGACAGCGAGGCCATCAGAGCTCAGCTGATACTTACAGAAGTATGGGTGCTGCATGGCCTCGGCGGCCGTCAGTCTCTGCTGGTGGTCGTAGCGCAGCAGCTTGTCCAGCAGGTCCAGAGCCTCCGGACTCACCAGGTGCTGGTTCTCCGACTGGATGAACTGCTCCCAGCGCTTCCGCGTTTGCCTGGAAACATACGACCGACATGCAGTAAGACGGAACTGACGTAGATGTGTCTGACTGTGCTGTGTTTAGGGCAATCCAATTACACTGGAAGATGATGTTTTTTAATCTTTTCTGAGTTAAACCTGTTTGAGGCTCAGTATGTGATCTGTCAGAAAGTTTAAGTACCTGGCTGAAGGTCATAAAATCTGGTGGAGAGACTGAACACGGGCACAGGAGGAGTTAAGCTTTGCTTAAGATCTGGACCACCTTCATTACAACTGTGTAATTCAATTTTATTTTATTTTATTTATGTAGCGCCAGTCGCAACATATGTCATACAGCGCTTAACATAGTAAGGTAAATAGGTGAAAGGTGAAATGGGACATTGTGCAGAGGATGTGTTCTCTCTTGGTGTTTTTCCAGCTTTAAGATTGATGTCAATGAGTACAACACTAAGAAATCTTTTCTACACGACCAATTTGTAAATTCACAAAAGGAGCCAAACTTCTCAAATGCACCAGACTTCAACTAACTGTGTGTTAGTGGCCGTAGTGAACCAAACAGAATCTTTGTTGGCTGACATTCTACCTATTCTTCAACCAAATGAGTTGGTCGCAGGGAAAATAAAGAAACTCTGCACATGATATGAACTAAATGCAGCACAGTGCACTGAGCCTACACTCATTATAAATCAGCATAAAACAGTGTCAGGGTTTCTTCCTCTTCCCAGTTCAGAAAACAATGAAATGCTGCTTCTCTCTAAAGCCCAGTTTACATCCTACACTACCAAACCACTGTTTTCACATGTAAGCAATCCGGGGCCTGTTTTCAAAAAGAGAAAAGCCTACAACTCAGTGTAGTGTGGACATAGTTCCTGAAGTAGTTTGTTAAGGCTTCACATGACATTCACAGCTGGTATCATTTAACATCTCTGATAACTTCAGGAGAAAACCAACAGCCGCTGATACTCACTGTCCCAGCAGGTCTTTGAAGCGAGTGTCCAGTTCTATGTGATATTTGTGCAGGTAACCAAAGAGCTCATCGGTGCCGAGGACCTTTGCAATACGGACCAACTGGAAAACAAGACATATGCACAATTAGAACCAAATGGGCCCAAATTTAAGACTTTTTCCTCCCTAGAAATCACCTTAAACGCTCTGAGTTCCAAGCAGTTTTTGGGTGTTCTTTGCTTTACAAATATTGGAAAAAGCCTGGAAACAGCATGTTGAACAGTTTCCCAAGTGCCTATAGGTGTCACCAATACTGAAAAAAATGGTGCTCTGCATACTACAGATAATGATTTGACATCACTTTGCACTTCAGCTCCATATTTTACCATGCTCGATGCATGTTTTGTTCATGTTTTGCTCCTTCGTATACTGTTTTTTGAGCCATGTTGCTTATATTTTACTGATGATCTCCTCTTTAAACACACTGTACAGTTCAACTGAAAGGTCTCAGATTTTTTTCGTTTTGTTTTTTTGCCACGACTGAGTCAGTCATCACTTCCCAGTTGTGCTGAATTTCTTTTCTTTCTTTCTTTTTTACAGCCTCTTGTTTGTGTAAATTATTCATTTCTGGCAACTTTTTAAAAAGGAGACATGTTGAACCAAGTAAATTTGATGAAATATCATGTTGTTGTTTTTTTTTTTTTAAGCTTACATTTGGTTAATTTTAATCAACAGAACCAAACAATTTCATGATTTTTAAAAGGTGACGTGTTGTTTTGACTTGGTGTCCACATTGTTCTGAGGTACTACATTCTATGAGGTCTTACCTGGTCGTAGTTGTCCTGGCCGTGAAAAAACGGTTCCTTCAGAAAGATCATGCTGGCTAACATGCAGCCCAGACTCCACATGTCCAAACTATAGTCATACATCTGAAAAAAACACCAACAATAAAACAACAATAAACACGAAGAATTATTTCAAAGTTGACACACGGACTAACAAGTGTTTTAACTTGTACCTGATAGTCCACTAGCAGCTCGGGGCCTTTGAAATAGCGAGAGGCCACCCTGACGTTGTATTCCTGAGCGGGATGGTAGAATTCAGCCAAACCCCAATCTATAAGACGCAGCTGTGACACAAACACACATGAATCAGGTTTCAGTGTTTAAAGTGTAAACCCTAAAAAACTACAACACCCAGACACATCTTCTGTTGAATTTACTCAGTTAAAGCAGCTACAGGAGCAGTTGTAATGTGAACCTGTAGTGCTACGCTCTCTGAAATGAATAAAGGTTTAGGACAAACGCTTGCTCAGGCGTGCTGACATTAGCATGATCGGAGTTTTGTTTCTGTCCTACATTTGTATTTTGAAATGTTAGAACAGTTTAGACAAAATCTCAAATATCAGGCCGAATTTTTTTTTTTAAACGTGCAACTTTTCATTCATTTTTAGGGTGAATATTCAAAATGATCATGCTTTTAAATACAGTTAATGAACCAAATCTAGTTTATTTTACTTAAATAAAACTGAATTAAATTAAATGGAAATCTTTATGCCAGGAAAACGTTCACAGAGCTCACAGGTAAGTGCAATGAGCAGCTTTTACTACATTATGAGTTCTAAGCAACAGAAGGTGCAAGATTCACATTACTATAAAAGAAAATCACAGTCTGGTGAAGTGGATCAGAACACAAATAGAACGTTAAGTGTCGCTCACCTTCCTCAACTGGTGGTCGATCATCACGTTGTGGGGCTTCACGTCCCTGTGCATGATGCCCATACTGTGACAGTAGTCCAGAGCCTGAAAGGGCAAACATTCAGAACGCATTAATAATCATGTCATTACAAAAAAAAAGAAAAAAAGAATATTGGTTTACTCTACAAAATGCCAGAAAATAGTAAAAATATGAGATGAGACAAAGGTAATGCCTTCAAATGTCTGGTTCAAACATAACATTAATTAACAATTAACATGACCTAGACTCAGACAGGCCACAAACTAAGCAATTAAGAAGCGTATGATGACTTTATACTTAATGGTAAAAATACATGAAGAATTGGCTTTAGTATCATGTTTTAAATGTGATGCTACAGTTTTATGGTTCAGCCCACTGGCAGCTGTAAAAGGCACATTATCTTTTAAAATAAATGGTGTATAAATGTATACCATGAACTGATAAAACAAACAAACAAACAAACAAAACAAAACACTGGATTTTCAACAATGGTTGAACAAATCACCTGTGACCTGCTGTTGTATCTGAAAAACTAAGCTGAAAATCGTGATATTTCTTAGAAATCACTTTATCCTACTCGTCTTATTTAAAACCTTTGCAACAGAGTCTGGAAAAAAAACAGAAAAAAATTGCTCTCTCGACTAAGAAGCTATGGCTGACTCAGCTGCAACCAACAGTCATGTTACACAAATTTAAAATGTAAGTAGTAAAACATCTTTACTGAGTAGAGCTGCCATTTTTTTCCGGTGTTGCCTACACCTGTGGGCATCTTCTACTTTTGTTATAAACAAGAAAAATGATTTAAGCTTTCTTTTTTTTTTTCTTTTATTATGATTAATGGCATAACAATTTTGTCATACTGTAAAAATGAAGTTCTATTAGTTTTCTGTAGGAGCTCAGAGGGTTGAATGACTGATCAGCTGTTAAAATTGCTGCTGAGTCCATTTATTGTCTCAGCTCTAAATTGATTTAATCACAGATTCCTCACAACAAAGTCATCCACAAACTCAACTGTCTTTTCCACAGCAGTTCCGGCACCACAACGTTTTTATTTCCAAAATAACACAAACAAGATGAAATTACCTTAAGAAGCTCATACATGTAGTAACGAATATCATAGTCTGTCAGCTTCTGGTAAAGCTCCTGTGGACCAGAGGAGAGACGTTCATGTGTTGAGAAGAATCAGTCGTCACATATTGTCAGCGGCTCTATACATGTAGAACATTAACTCGAGGGTTATGCGTGTTATTAATAATGGATATGGTAGTTGTGCATGTATGCCGGCCAAACTTAAGTACCTTAAAATCTGTGTTATTGATGCACTCAAAGACAAGCGCTGGTGTTCTGGACTGCAAAGAGAGGACAACACACGGCTTAACTGAGGAGAACAGCAGGTAGGTGGAGATCATTATCTCTGAGTTACAAGCATGACTGGATTACCACGGCTGACAACATGCCCACATGCAGCAAAGTGAGCGCTGAGTCCGTAACTCACCACCGGGTCTTTGACCGTGTCCACCAGGCGGATGATGTTGGTTCCTCCTCGCAGGTTTTCAAGAATTTTGATTTCCCGTTTGATCTTCTTCTTCTTGACGGGCTGAAGGAGAGAACAGGTGGTCAGGAGTCACAGTCAAATATACAAAACGCCAAATCGTTCTTTTGATACCTAGACACATAAAACTGAACATGTCCTGCATTTTGCTGCTTGTTGAAGAGGTTTTGGTGGACAAAATAATAGAAATACAGTCATGACTCGATAATCCGACCCTTAACAATCCAAAATCTTGCTATCTGACAGGTTTATAGGAAAAATGAACGGAACCCATAAAAAATATCCTTAACATACCGACAGCCTTGACTCCGACATGACATTTTATGTCACAAATAAGGATAACGGCGTATTATCTGACTGAACAATCTGACAGATTGGCTATGTTCAGACTGCAGGACTTAATGCTCAATTTGGATTTTTTTTGGTGAAATCCGATTTTTGTGTGAGTTCGTTCACATTTCCAATAAAATGCAACTTCTATGTGATCTGCAGTGTGAACTTCATACGACCCAAAAGTGTCCTGCATGTGCAGAAGAGGACACAACGACGTTACACGCAGCAAACAGTTGTGTGTGATGGTAACAGTGGAGCGTATCCATCACTGCCCCGCCACCACCAATGGTGGAAACAGAACTGGGACCACTATCCTAAACTACCATCAGCAGCTAAGTACTGTCTGTGCGTTGCGGCCACTTCCACCCCGTCAGAGCGCTCCGCCAGGGTGGAAGTGTAAGTGGAAGAATTTTTGGTTCTTCCCACTGTCCTAACTGTGAAAGTTTGCTGCTTCTATATTACAGTAACTTCAATTCTTTGGGTTTTGACTGTTGATTGGACAAAAAAGGACATTTAATGGGGTTTTTCCTGAACCAAGGATTTTGTCGTGCATGATAAAGAGGTTTAAACCAGCAAATGATCTATTCTCATATTTTAACCAGTTTTGCTAATTGAGGTTTTACTTACTGAAGCATAATAGACATCTCTTTTTTTAAATCAAAAAATCAGAAATCTCAGGTAAATGCAGAGATTTCAGTCTAGTAAGGTAACACAGACTCACTGCCTTTACCAAAACATGTATGCACACCTTCACACGATATATTGCAGAATTGCTGTAATATCATGTCAAACAGCTGCGCTTCATACTGGGACACAGCGAGGACCAGGTTCAAAACAGTGATTATGAAATTCTTTTCCAGGGTCACAGCTGTAATTTGAGGACTACTCAAAAACAGGCAAAGCAGAAAAGTTGTGCAATGTATTATTAGGACACGGCTGGCCCCCTTTTTTAAACTGAGTCACAAAGAAGTTTCAGGTGAGATTAGTGTATTATCCAGATGTCTTCTGGCTTAACTCAGGTTTTCCTCAATCACAAAGCCGTTTCACGTTGAGATCACCGCGATAAGCTGCTTTTCAACTTAACAACCCTCAACCAGGAGCTTTACAGTAATACAACCTGATGAGAACTTCCTCTCTGTTTGCTTTTCCACAGTAGAAAGTGTGAAGGAATGAAAACACGTCGTTAAAAATACTCTACAGCGCAAATTGAAATGTTGTTGAACAGTAGGGAGCAACAGATACGTCACTAGTTGAATCATTTTTTACGTGTCGGCCACTCCCAGAGTTTTTAACAAACAGTTAAGAGAGGAGAGTTTACTACACGACAAAATGATTCTTCATCCGTCCACCCCAGACTCATACAAGGAGGCTTTATAAAGGCTGAAAATAAAAAACTACACTCTCTAATAACAGCAATTATGACTAGAAATGCAAAATTTGGAAGCAAAAATACGACTTTTACCTTTATGTGCATAATTTTTTTCATTCACTCTCTACTGAAGACACAATATTTTATACACTTACTCATGGCCTTAGACATGACATGAATATTCAGACTTGTTTTTTGTTTTTTTTAGTTTGATATTATTTGTACATCATATATTATGTGGCAATCAATTAATCAATCAAAATGGTCTGATTCCAGCTTCTTACATGTGAATATTTTCTGGTTTCGTTCCTCCTCGATGAGTATCAATGAGTAAACTGAATATCTTTAGGTTGCAGACAAGCAGGACATTTGAAGATCATGTCATGCTTTCAGAAACTGATATTTTTAGAAACTTTACACACATATAAGGTACTTAGTGTTCCTTCTGCATTACTCATATTTGACCAGCAGATGTCACCAACGTGTGATGTCGAGTTTCAGAACAAACCAGTTCACAGATTTAATGAATTAATTTATCATTAACTGGGAACATTCCGTTATTTTATTATTAATTAATGCATGAGTGCAGAATCAAAGGAATCTTATTATTTCCATTACTCTTACTATGCTATTATCTTGTCACTAGTCCCACAATATGAGCAGTGGTTCACCTGGATCATCAGAATTATTCAGTGACAAAGTTAGTCGGTCGACTGCTTGCGTACAATTTTAAGGTACAATCGTGGCTCAATAATCTGACACTAAATGTAAAACCTTCTTATATGTCAGATAGCAAGGCTGTTGGATTGTCAAGACGGAGGTCGAGATACAAGGAGGGCTTGATGCTTGAAGGCTCATTTGTTGTTAATAATTATTGTTCAAAGTTGTTATAATAACTAGTAGGGCTGGTCCAAATAGCACTTCCTGGTCTCTGGATATTCAGGCCCAATTAATGATGAACATCCGAATAGTTGGTGCAGTCAGGGGGACACTTCCACCCTGGGGGAGCACTCCGACTGGGTGGAAGTGATGCAGAATTAGGGAGCAATCATTTAGGTGTGGGACTCACCTTGAGGATTTTCACCACCACTTTCTCATTGTTGGTCACATTTATGGCCTCAAACACTTC